CACTTCTTAGTCCGAGATGGTGTTGTGAATTTATTTATATTTTTTGCGTTTTTTTTTGTACTTCAAATTGTCATTTATCAGATACGTATCAGTAGAAATTGGATTCACACGATATTCACTATTTATGACAACCATGTACTTCAAAAATTCAGACAAAAACAACGAAAACTATTAATAACAATAGGCAGGAGCAAGCGATTATTGAAGTGTACCGTGCTGTTAGGGAATGAATGAAAAATATTATAATAGATGGCAGCAGTTGTATTCAAAAGGTCATGACAAACCGTGCTTCCTTGGGGCGTGATAAAACTTAGTGAAACCTCTGCTGTCAATTTGTATTTTCACTGGTTTAACAAATAATTACATTTCGTCAAATACCTCAAGAACACATAAATTATTTACAGGAATAATAAAGACATCAAAGGGCTCTCCAGTTGGCGTCAAGTAAAATAAATTTCCATCTTTATATAAATATATATATTAACGGATTTTTATTCAAATATAATTATGTTATAGTCTTGGTTACTCTAATATTCAGAATACAGTTAGGTAGAATCCTGTTTATGGTCGTTCTATTTACATGTAAAGCTTCAGTTGTTTTACGTTCAACCAACACCTTGTCAGACTTTTGATAAATATATATATTGGAAAACTGTTTTAATACGTGATTTTTGTATCGTTTGAAATAACATCTGGACCCAAAAATTCATTTAGAATATTATATTTTGTTAACCACGTAGCTACACAATGGGGTATCTGTGCTATGCCAACAACGGGTATCAAAGCCCGGTTTTTAAACAGACTTACCACTGAGCCACTGGGGACCTTTTAAAATAACGAGGTTACCGTAATAAATACTACTAGTTATTTTTAGTAGGAATTCGTGTTAAGTAAATGTACAAAATGTATAGAAACAGAATGTGTTGCTGGTTTCTAAAAAAAATAACTTGAGAAACTCTAAAATTAACGTATGTATATATATATCAAACAGTTCTTAAATCAAATCAAGTAACATTCTAAACTAAAAATATATTCTTCAGGATCTCGATACGAAATATCCGACAAATTTCTATCTAAATGTCTAACAATGTTTCTGAACAGACTGTAAGTCAACATTCTGAACGAAACGTTCTGCAAAATTTTGAAAGAACTACTTTACAACTTTTTCAGTGGAACATCCTGATAGTTACACTAAAAGTTCCTGTTTGGAATCTATACTAACGCTAACATCCTGCTAGTTACCTTGTAAATTTCTGGACGGATATTTACTAATTCCAAGGTCCTGCTAGTTACCTTGCAAGTTTCTAAACGAGATATTTAGTAACGTCAACATCCTGCTAGTTAACTTGCAAGTTTCTGGACGACATATTTATTAACGTCAACATCCTGCTAGTTACCTTGCAAGTTTCTGTTCGGAATATTTACTAACGCCAATGTCCTGCTAGTTAACTTGCAAGTTTCTGGATGAGGTATTTAGTAACGTCAACATCGTGCTAGTTAACTTGCAAGTTTCTGGACGGAATATTTGATAACTTCAACATGCTGCTATATTCCATGAAAGTTTCTGAATGGAATATTTTCTAACGTCAACATTCTGTTAGTTACCTTGAAAATTTCTGAACGGAATATTTAGTAACGTCAACATCCTGGTTGTTACCTTGAAAATTTCTGAACGGAATGTTTAATAATATCAACATCCTGCTAATTACCTTGCAAGTTTGGAACGGAATATTTAGTAACGTAAACATCCTGCTAGTTACCTTGTAAATTTATAAACAGAATATCTAGTAGCATCAACATCCTGGTTATTACCTTGTTAATTTCTGAACGGAATGTTTAATAATATCAACATCCTGCTAATTACCTTGCAAGTTTGGAACGGAATATTTAGTAACGTAAACATCCTGATAGTTACCTTGTAAATTTATAAACAGAATATTTAGTAACGTCAACATCCTGGTTATTACCTTGTTAATTTCTGAACGGAATATCTAGTAGCATCAACATCCTGGTTGTTATCTTGTAAATTTCTAATCGGAATATTTAGTAACGTCTACGAAAGAAATATTCAATAAATAGGACACACACACACCGGTTTAACAAATTTATCACTGAAGTGCACTTAAAGAAATATCCACGCCTGAAGACTGGAAACAGAATGCGGAATATTAGAAAATGTAATAATATTTCTATGTATAGAGCAGTGAAAATTGTGAATAAAATTAGTGTCCTTACTACATAATACAATACCAGTTAGAATAATTAAAGCTAATCACCACAGTTACACCGCATGTAGGTTTAATTCAGAGTCGTTGTTACACAGGAGAATGCAGGTTAGATTACCAGTAGGACACTGTAAAATACGTGTAAAGTTCAGAAAGCAGATACACAATCTTAGATGAATTCATAGACTTTAAACATTTTAATATATACGTTTTGGGAAAGTTTTAAACATATTAAAGTACTTTTTCGTTTATTCAATATTATCATCTTGTTGCAATATTCCTTTGACTATTTCAAGTGCATTAACCATACCTAATACCCTTTAAGTTACTACAGACGTTTTAAAACACAGCACAATACGATTTAGTTTTTTTCCAATATATTAAGTATACCAGAATATCTTTCAGGGGCGGATTGGCCCACTGGGGGATTGGGCAATTGCCCGGCAGGCCAGTGTATTTGACGTATTGTTAGAGATTGGTTTTAAATTTTAATTGTTTAGCCAGTACACAGCATATGACATTGCCCGGGTTGGTCCTTTAATACCAGTCCACCCCTGATTTCTTTCAGCCTACTTCGAGTGTTTTAAAACACACCACAATACAAGTTCGACTACTTCAGGTGTTTTTAAGCACACCAGACTAATATTTACATTAATAGAAGTGTTTTTTTTTTAACACACCAAAATACAACTTTGGTTATTTCAAATGCATCAGATGCGTTTTAAAATGTATACGAGTATCTTCTGTTGTGTTTTTAAGGGTATTAAAACTCATTAGAATATTAGTTCGGCTACTTTAGGTAAATTAAAACACAATAACATGTTGTTTTTTTTTAAATATTATTTCAAGGTTTTTTAGAACATTAGAACACCTTCCAGGTTAAGTCCAAATCATTGCAACTTTTGTTTTATAATCTATTTCATTGTTAGTAGGAATGGCAAAAACAACAACAACAAAAAACAACAGATGTATTGAAATAAAATCATTTTGCTAATAATATATTCTGAGAGGCCATAGCTTGTATTTATTTGTCAACTTGCGAAAAGAAATGAAGCTCAGAAGTAAGTATATGTTTATTAGATAAGATTAGACTTTTACTCAATCTGATAATAAGCTTTAAACTTTTTGTGTTTGTGTGTGGGTGAGTGAATGGATCTTTTAACGACTTCGATAGTGCTAATTTAAGTGGTGTCTAATTTTTTTTTGTTGACGGTTGGGAGGGAGAGAAGTTTGAGTTTTGAAGGATAACAATTTCAACGTTGCTGCTATTTAGAAAGGGGCATGAAGGGAGTACTGAAGTCAAAAACCAATTCTCAGTGGAACCGAAGTTTTCGCCTTTGCATTAAATAAAAAATATATGCCAAAACAGGTTCCAGATCACAGATGTGGTAGACGTCGAGCACTGAATTGAAGTATCACTAATGTTGTATTTGTGAGTAGTAGTGAATGTAAGAGACTAAACTGTTACACATAGCAGTGTTGGATGTAGAGTTACTGTTACACATGACAATTACTGTTTCATATGAGGGGTTGGTTGTAGAATTACTGTTACACACGTAATGCAGATTGTAGAGTTAGGAATTTGACGGGGGCGTTGTATCGTCTTCAGGTTGGTTGAAATTCTAGCAAGCAAAAGTCAAGGGGTGAAAAATTAGGCTTCGGAACTTTGGATAGGAGGGTTACAACAGGTGTGGTAAATTCTCTTTTGTTCTGACTTTGGGTCCTTGAAAAAATGTACGTAACATTTTTACTTCAATAAATTAGCCGTAAAAACTGTCATATGGCATACACGTGACCTGCTAAAGCAGTTATCATGCAAACCTCGTTACAACATGCCAGCTCACCTACACTTCAGTCCAGTTCCGACTCAAAGGTCCACAGCAGGGTAACATCAGTTAGAGGTTCGTCCGCCCCTGCAGCCCTGTTATTACCGCGTGCATCAGGGAAGCTTGCCTCTGTACGGCTGTTAGTGGCTACAAGGGATATCCCGCCTTCGAATTTGGGAAACGCCTAAACATATATACGTGTGGCGGTATTTGCACCCCCTCTTCCCCTGCGTCACCCTGGCCCACACCCCTATGGTATCTTCCCGGCGCCTGGCCCTCAGTTATTCAGTGTGGTTTCCCTAGCACAAGACTGGTCCGCCTGGTTAGCGCTCTGGAGACTGAAGTGTGTAGCAGTAAATACTTTTGCTTGTCTAAATGGGTTGTACAAATACGGCTTGGTTGTACAAATACGCTCTGGAGACTGAAGTGTGTAGCAGAAAATACTTTTGCTTGTCTAAATGGGTTGTACAAATACGGCTTGTTCGGCTCGCTCTCTTTTGAAATGTTCGGGGTAAAGGGGGGTTTCATGACGGATGTTTGTTTGGAAGACTTTACTGTGTGCTCCGAATTTGTGATTTCTTTTGCGTTTTTCCCTGTAGAGAAACTCTCACAAACTAAACACCACTCCCCGAGTTTTTCAAAGATCAATTTCCTAAGTATCTATGGGTGTGTTCGGTATGTGATTTATTTACCTCTGATATTGAATCACGACAGTAATCTTTGTGACGTTTCGCCCCACCACTTTGTAAACGCAACTTTCTGACCAGGTAAATCACGGTTGTCGTGTTTTATGTTAAACAGACATTAGCTTTCTTCGATAATTTGCTGACATCGATATATTTTGACAAATAAATCACTCAGGAAAACACTGAATTCATTTTATTGTGTGATTTTCAAGGAAACATTTCAGAAGGAAGTTATACAGGTCATAACAGTCAATTATTTGAATGACGTCACAGGTAACGGACAGAAAGTATTTTTGAATTACGTCATATAGTGTCTATAGGATTTTATCGTTTAAGCCGTATAAGTTTCCTTATCTGTATTCATCTACAGACCGAGTATGAGAGAACGTAAGTAGACTTCTTGGCACCTTGATAAAGAATTTAAAACAGGGAGTAAGTAACTCAGTGGCAGTGGCTGGAATGTACTGTTGAGTAAGTGGAACTATTTACCCTCATTAAAAGCGTACAGACGCAAAAATTCTAGTATCTGCATCCACTAAACTTCTAATGATATGAAGTAACTAAATTACTGGGAAAGATATTCGCTGGCAGTTTTATCGTTCAGCTCTGTTGACTGTTTTTAAACTGATTAATAAAATACGAGCCTCAGGAGCTAAACTATTAAAACTGACTGATCCATCTTGATCGTCTTCTTTTTTATACCGGAAATTGAAAATTAACTATCATAAAAGGTAGTGCTTACAACTAGGTTTCATTCAGTTTGAATGATGAAGATTCTACAAGTCTTTCTCATCATCTTAGAAATCGCTTTTCTGGTTATCCAGCTGATCTCGTTAGTCTGCACTCACTGGAACTCCTGGGATCTACGCTTCAACTGGACGAGATCGCTTGAAAAGGTCAACGGCAGACCAGAATCCGAAGGTGAGATTTTTTTAAATAATCGAGTCATTTGCACGCATTCTATTGAATTGTGCGTATAGTAGTGTGACCAGGGGCTAGTTAGAAAGGTTTTATTATACTTGTTAAGTGTTTTCCTCAAAGAATACTCTGGCGAAACAACAAAATAATCCTCTACCTTAACGTTTCGGCTGAAAGCTAAAGATCTAATGACAGAAAAAAAGAAACATTTACTTACCTTTCGTTAATATAAGCCTTAAGAATCAGAGTATGTATTATTTTAGGGGGATGAAATTGTGTTGTTTATAAAATAGTCCTACGTACGAGCGCGCGCGCACGAACACAAATATACATACAAACAGATATATATATATATTATGGTTGTTTTTATTGCACAGTGAACTGAAAGGCAATGTAAAATATTATCAAATGTAAACATAAATATATCAAACCAAACGAATGTATCATATTTGTGGTGTTTTTAGTTATCTTTAACTCACCACAGTAAACCATATTTATATAACATCTGAAGACTATGCGGCATTTATACTACTAACTGATTCTTCTGAATTTTTCGGCAGACAAACTGTCTAAGAATAAGATTAAAAATAGAAATAATATAAAAGGTGGAATTCCCCGAAGTCGGTATAACTCGGTGACAAATGGTGAGACTAATGATAGATTGGACTTCATATTCATCTTTAATATATTTTTTATGTTTTAGGGTCTTGTTTTATATTTGAATTAACAGTTTAAATCAACCTTTCAGTACCAGTTGGAACCACGAATTCAACCTTGTGTTATCCTACTAACACAGACTGGGATGCATCTGTGTCAAAGTAACCACCAATTATGTTCCTTCCTCACTCTTGGAATACTTGTTCTTGACTTATAAAGTAGTTTCAAGGAAACTGTACATAAAAAATGACCAACCGATTGATTTTATGATGTAACGACCTACAGACATAATGTGAACCATTGACTTTATTAGAAAAGAGTTCTGGTAAACTTTAAAAAAACGTATTTACAGGTTTTCCCCCGTTTACAAGTATTTGTAAGAATATAAATTATAAATTGAGGAAAATATCGTGTTAAACAGTTAATATATTCAAGCAATTAATTTTGTTCTTAAAACCGTGCAGTTTTTGTGGTCTCATTAGCTAAACTTACAGAAACTACGTGAAAACTAAGTTAGATAAATAGGACATTAGTAAGTTTTGAACAGAAAAACAACCAAACAAACTTGGTTCATGGTTGACAACATTTATATTATGTACTCGATATGCTACTGGAAGATCACACTAGTCAAAGCACACACGAACACTGCATACACTAGTCAAAGCACACACGAACACTGAATACACTAGTCAAAGCACACACGAACACTGAATACACTAGTCAAAGCACACACGAACACTGAATACACTAGTCAAAGCACACACGAACACTGAATACACTAGTCAAAGCACACATGAACACTGAATACACTAGTCAAAGCACACACGAACACTGAAGAAATATGGTGATGACACTGCACAAAATCTCGGCTCCGTGAACACTTATTCACTAGGAGTTGGTAGGTTAAAAGTCCCTGATGAAGGAGGTTCGAGAGTACTTGAGCCAAGAGTTTCGGCATTGTTATAATGAAACGACTGTTCTTCTGAACGCCCTGCACACGCACACAAAGGAATAAACAAGAAAACGTGTAAGGTCATCTTAAACTCTGTTCACACCCAGGTAAACAAAACGGGATAAATCGAAGTGTTAAAGTTAAATTATTTTCAATTTTTAGCTATTTAAATTGAAAATAATTAACTTAACTAAAACTTGTTGGCGCCCGATTATTCATCTCAATACCCTATTAACTAATATTCAAGCAACAGAAGAATTTATATTGAAGATTTTTTATTTTTCAAATGGAAATGAAAAAAGTCAAATATCGGATTCCCATTTATGCGTTTAAATTAATGCTTGTTTTACACACAAACATATATACATAAAAAGACACGTGTCTAGTGTAAAATCCGCCTAACATCGATTTATACAACAGTCACGTGTCTTTTCTAATTTTTGTTATTTTCATACCCGAAGTTTTATACTACACGTGACTAATGTCATGACATGTATGTGCGATTAGCCTCCAGAATATTACAAAACACTAAATAAAAATTCCAACACGGACTAAATAAACATGAGTTACTTATGGAGTCAGCTTTTAACAAATACCCTGAATGTATAAGAATATCGAATGTAAATCCACACCAGACGCGAATTAAAAACGTTCTAATAGACTAGAAATAAATATTCCTAATGGATATATTAGAGATGGGCTGACCCATTACAAAACAGTTCGTGGTTTGATTTCCGCCATATTAGTATCCTATCGCTGAACTGATATTTTCAACAAACTAAAATATATTTATTGTTATATTTACTTAATGCAATCTCAGTTATGTTTCTGTACAAATTTCTTCTTTGATCCTTTTTTGTATATTAACCTTTTAAAGTATTTTGAAATGCAACGTTATCATTATTATTACTTTGTTGTTGTTGTTAAGCGCTACGTAATCACCATCTTAATTTCGATGACGAGGAACCCACTTTGAGACTAATAATGGCTGGAGACGGCTTGAATGGGTAATTGTACCTGATGATGTCGAAACGTTGTACATTTGCTGTTATGTTAAACTTATATTAAAGTTTTTCTTCATTACCCATTCAAGCCGTCTCCAGCCATTATTAGTCACCATCTTAATTGTTTTTACTGTAGTCCAGGTTACTTTTATTGGTCAGTTTATTTCGAGTTGCACGACGAGAAAAAAATCGAGACAAGTTCTATTTTAGCGAAGCGACAATTTTTCAAGGATGTGGATACTCAAATTTGACTGTAGTATTTCCAAGCTATTCGCTCGTGTCCAGTGGATGAGCTTTAACTTATGGTAGATTTTAAAAGTCAGCAAATATACTGGCTGGTATATGAGAACATATTAAATAATATAAACATTTCTAACTCCACTGCGGATACTGAATTAAAAATATCTAATGAAACTGACTTTTATTAAAAACGCCATGGTAAGTTGCAAACATATAACAGCGTTAGAGGTAAATTTAATGTCATTAATTTCAGCTATGGCTCATAGGTAAACTTCAAAATGTAATTTTTGTTCAGAATCACATATCACACATTTCAGCACTAAAACGTGTTTCTAAAATTATATTTTTCTCTTCAGGTAACTTTATTTTAACATCATTAGCATATGGAGAATAACTGAAATATTAGCATATGGAGAATAACCGAAACATTAGCATATAGATAATAACTGAAACATAATAAAACATTTATACGTTTTCAAAGAAAAATAAATACAGCAACGTTTCATACTGGGAATGAATGTAAACGTTAGCCACGTTGCAAGAGGAGGCAGAGAAATAAAACTAAGTTACAAACTGTATAACGTATCCTGATAGTAGAGGCTACTTATCAGTAGAACTCATACAGTGATGATAATACACTGTATGTCGTATTTGTGGAGGATCAAGTTTAATGAAATGTAGTGTCAGTTCTTCGACTCTTGAAGAGTATATCTGATGTTCTTATGATCTCTTTATCCAGTAAATGAAATAGCTTTATGTAAATAATGGAATAAAGTGTATTGAGTTGAGGTCAATAGCTTGCTTGGTTAAGACAGTTAATCCGACAACTAGAGCTTACTAGCTTACATTCGGGCTTTGTTATAATGGGGGTCAGAACAAAAAAGAAGCTCAAACCTGTGTTTCTCCAAAAATGTTTTAATCGAGCATTATGTCTGAACCGAACTTGTCATAACACCAATCTGTAGACATTTTTTAAAGTAATATTTTTTATCTTTTTGTAATTAAGTTCCATTATTTTGATTAAAATTATATGATTTTATCATTTGATAAAATTTTTTTTCTTAACTGTGATAAAACATTTAAGCCATCTATTCGAGAAAGCGCAGGCCTTGTGCGAGGCATGGAGCGCGAGAAAGACAGCATGTAGCGTTTTTGACCGGTTTCATCGTATTGATTTTTACATAGGTGAATTTTGTTATGAATTTAATTATTGATAAATCTCATGATTTGAAAAAGTATATGGTGGGGGTGGGGCCTACGTTTAATTAATCCGGCACTCACATTTCTTAAGCACTACCGTCTTCGTCGTGGATTATGCTCAATCTAATGGTCATGATTACGCACTATTGGCCGAAACTGTAATTTTCATTGTAACAAATTTCTACAAAGAATAACAAAATCAATCTTATACAAGTTTCTGTAGACCCTTTACTGTTCACGTGAAGGTGTATTTCAAGACTACGTCGAGATGTGTGTGGAATATTTATGTATTCTATATTCCAGTATTTTCAATCTTTGTCAAGAAAACAGCTGTTAATATTGAAGTGTGGCTGGAACCTTGTAAGCTTTAATGAATTTCCAATTCTTGTTTATTGTTTTGTTAACTGAAGTAATGTTTTTATTTTTAGGTTAGAGGGTTCTTCTTCGTAACTATCTCCTAAATCTTACGTATGAGGCCGTTGCTGAGTGTTGGGTTGGGGTGTTTTCAGGAGTTATAGCTGTCCTAAACGCTTTGCTGTGCGACTTTTTCACTTTCAACGAGAACATTGAAGACTGGCTCCTTCAAAATTTTAAGTTATTTGGCTCTAAATCGACTTTAAGAAACTCACTCTATATCTTAAAACGCTTTGTTATTATCAGAATCTCAAAATTATTTCCACGTGCAAAAAACATCAGAAAAATAAAACAGACTGTTAGGTAGTTCCATGTAAATTATAACCGTATTTTTTAGGAATTGTGTATACGCATTTTACATTCTTAAATTCATTTAGATGTGTATATGTAATAAATCTTCAGAATATTAGCGAACACTGAATGAAAATAGCAAGAATTTAAATGAAAAAAATTAAGGTATGGGTTATCTCAGAAATAAATTAGCAGTCTATTTTAATAAAAAGGGTGCGTCTTTTAGCAATAGACGTCTGTACCAA